TCAGCGGAACGCACGAGCCTTCGTGGAAACGCACAAGCTCTGCTACAACTGCCTGGGGAACCACTTTATCTCACGGTGCCAATCGAAGAAGGCCTGCCTCACTTGCAACGCACGTCACCACACGATGTTGCACGGGGCATCCACCACGTCTTCATCGTCGGAGATCAACACTCCTGCCACCGCATCAGTTTCCACACTTGCCACGACACTAGCCTACGCTACACATCAGAACGAGGATCGAAAGGCCGTCCTCTTAGCAACTGCGCGCGTCCACATCGCTGACAGGCATGGATTTCCGCACTCAGTGCGAGCTTTGCTCGATCAGGGTTCCGAGCTATCCATTGTCTCCGAGACAGTGGCGCAACGCTTGCGACTACCTCGAGCGCACACGGGACTATCCATCTCCGGGGTCGGAGGAGCCCGCCCAGGACCAATCCGCGGCAAGATCACGTTGAAGGTAACGTCAGACGTGACCAACGCCGAGCTCTCCGTGGTGGCTTATATCCTGCCTGCGCGCCTCGTGATGACACAGGGCCCCACCTCAAAGACGGATAAACGCTGGCCTCATATCCAGGGACTTCAGCTGGCCGACCCCAACTTCCAGGACGACGACCCGGCTGAACTGCTCCTAGGAGCGGAGGTCTGCTCCTTCATAATTGAGGAGGGCGTACGCAAGGGCGGTCCAGAAATGCCGATCGCCCAGAAAACTATCCTGGGTTGGATTCTCTCCGGGGGATCTGATGCAGCAGCAACCGCGGATCACCGACGCACGCTCCGTATCACTGCTGATTACGACCTCGCTGACCTGGTGCGTCGATTCTGGGAACAGGAACAGGAGCCCACCACCGCTGTCACGTCTCTCACCCCCGACGAACAAGGGAGCGAGGAGCTCTTTGTGCGCAGTCACACTCGCACTGCCTCTGGGAGATACATGGTGAGGTTGCCGTTCTCCTCACCACCGACAAAACTGGAGGAGACTCGCAAGCCAGCGGAACGTCTTCTGATGGCCATGGAGAGACGCTGCATCCAGGACCCTCGCTTTGGTGATCTCTACCGGAGCTTCCTGCGCGAGTACGAGGACCTACAACACATGACGAAGTTAGCCACGGCGTCGACTGACCGGCAGGGCAAGTGTTACTTACCGCATCATCATGGGGTCTTCAAGGAATCCAGCACCACCACCAAGTTGAGAGTCGTGTTCAACGGATCGCAGCGAACACGAGCCGGGGAATCGCTGAACACGCACCTCCACACGGCGCAAACCTCCTTCCGCCGCTAGCCGACGTGCTGCTCCGATGGCGTCAACACCGCTACGTCTTCGTCGCCGACATAGAAAAAATGTACCGGCAGATTCTCGTGCATCCAGACGACTGCAGTTTCCAGACGATCCTGTGGCGGCACTCTCCTGACGATGAAGTGCATGAATACCAACTGAGGACGGTCACCTACGGCCTCAGTTGCGCTCCATTCCTCGCCATACGGACTCTTCAGCAACTGGCCAAGGACGAGGAAGAACATTTTCCTCGCGGCTCGGTGGCCTTGCGACGGGATTGTTATGTCGCGACGACGTAGTCACCGGAGCAACCACGCTCGACGAAGCAATCGTGCTTCAGGAGGAGCTACGCAACCTCTGCAAGGCGGGCGGGTTCCCGTTACGAAAATGGGCAGCCAACCACGAAGAGATCCTAACTGGCGTTCCTCAGGATCATCGTATGCAGCAGTCCCAGCGTGCATGGGAAGGAGAGAGTCACTCAACGCTAGGACTTCGATGGCATCCTCAAGATGATGAGTTCTCCTTCACACTGCTTCCACCGTCCGTAGAGAAATATACGAAGAGACGGGTTCTCTCTGAAACCGCACGGCTCTTCGATCCATTGGGTTGGCTCGCTCCTGTCGTCATCCGCGCGAAGATCCTCATCCAAACTACGTGGCTTCAGGGGTTAGATTGGGATGCTCAACTGCCGCCAGCCGACGCTCATCGTTGGCAGCAACTGCTGGGTGGCCTCCATCTCCTCGACCGCCTGAGGATGCCTCGCTGGCTCGGCACGGGCGATGTGGACTCATCGCTGCAGCTACATGGCTTCGCCGACGCGTCCGAGCGCGGGTATGCTGCCGCCGTGTACCTCCGCATCGCTGGAAAAAATGAAACGTCAGTGACACTACTAATGGCCAAGAGCAAGGTGGCACCTGTCAGGCAAGTGACCTTGCCGAGACTCGAGCTCTGCGCCGCCGCCTTACTCACCACACTGACTCAGCATGTGCAACGCACGCTCAACTTGGGAGATGCACCCACGCATCTGTGGACGGACTCGAAGGTCACGCTCCAGTGGATCCAGGGACACGCCTCGCGATGGAAGACCTTCGTTGCCAACCGGGTGTCTCACATCCAGACCCTACTGCCGAACGCACTCTGGAGACATGTGGCTGGTCGAGACAACCCTGCGGATTGTGCATCGAGGGGCATTAGTCCGTTGGAATTGGTAAATCATACGTTATGGTGGACAGGACCTACCTGGTTGCTGGAGGAAGAGGCGGCATGGCCGCTCACCGAAGTGGACACCCGAGAAGACAACCTTATCGAGAGACGAGCCGGCAGCCTGATGACGAGGAGCTTGGTCGTCATGGAACCTGAGCTCCTCCTCCGCTTTTCGTCGTTGAACCACCTGCTACGAGTCACAGTCTGGTGTCGTCGCTGGCTTCGCACTGTTGCACCAACTGTCACCCCTGGACAGCCACCCACCGCAGACGAATTAGACGGAGCTCTATCACACTGGCTACGAGAGGTACAAGCACTCCACTTCCCTGACGAGGTCACCGCTGTTTCTGCAGGCCGCACTGTCGCAACACGCAGTCCGTTGGCCAAACTAGCTCCATTCGCCGATACACGTGGCGTGTTGAGAGTAGGAGGACGCTAAAAAATTCGCTCTTGTCACAGGACGAGAGACATCCGATGATTGCGCCAACAACTTCATGGCTGACTCGACTGTTGATCGATGCTCATCACCGCCGGACCTTGCACGGAGGGGTGCAGTTGACCCTAGGCTTGCTTCGACAGCGTTTCTGGATACCCCGAGGACGTGCAGCGGTAAAACAGCGGCTTCATCGCTGTGTCACGTGCACAAGGTGGCGAGCGACGACACCACAACCACCCATGGGCAGTCTGCCACGCAGCAGGGTCACGCCAACGCGACCATTCCTCCGCACTGGACTGGACTACGCGGGACCAATCCTCATTCGGACCAGCAAAGGTCGCGGCCACCGCGCCTACAAGGGCTACATTGCACTCTTCATCTGCTTCTGGTCGAAGGCCATCCATCTAGAGCTCGTATCGGACTACTCGTCGGAAGCTTTTATCGCCGCCCTTCGTCGATTTGTCTCTCGACGAGGTCTCTGTGCCGACATCTTCAGCGACTGCGGCACGACCTTCGTCGGAGCCGACCGCACCCTACGGGAACTCTTTATTGCAGCGTCTTCGGAGGGTGAAGGAATCGCACGCGCAGCCGCCAAGGAAGGCATCCGCTGGCACTTCAATCCGCCGGCGGCTCCGCATTTCGGTGGATTATGGGAGGCTGCAGTCAAGTCAGCTAAGTACCATCTGCGGAGGGTGATAGGCGAAACCACCCTCACTTTCGAAGAACTGAGTACCCTCCTCACTCAAATCGAGGCATGCCTCAATTCTCGACCATTGCAGGCACTCTCGGACGATCCAGACGATGTTTCAGCACTAACTCCTGGACATTTCCTGATCGGGGCGCCCCTTCTCGCCATCCCTGAGCCACCGCAGGGAGGCGAACATGGAGACACGAGATCGCGATGGCAACACCTCCAGCAAATGAGAGAGCACTTCTGGGGAGGTGGTCGAAGGAATATATCCACGGACTCAATCCACGCACTAAGTGGCTCAAGGCCGAGGCCGCACCCCACGTCGGTGATCTTTGCATCCTGCGTTCGGAGCTCACCCCCCCGACCCGATGGCCTCTCGCCCGGATCACGAGGTTGCATCCCGGGAACGACGGTATCGTCCGCGTGGTGACAATCCGCACCGCCACTTCTGAGCTTGTGCGCCCGCTCGTCAAGCTCGTCTTGCTGCCGCGCGCGGATCCCCTTCCGAGCATAAACAGCGCGGACGTGCCGGCCGTCAGCCCGTAAACATTCACCAGTCCCTCACCGCACTGCATTACACACCCGCCATTCCACGTCAAACCCGCATTTTTCTGCCTCAGCTGATCGATCCGCACAATACGATCACCACGTGTTCCATCGACTCAGCTGTTCGAGTCACGCGATCACCACGTGCTTGCCACCGCGCCAGCGCGCGCGCCCCCACCATCGATCACGATCGACTTGTGATTCCACGGCCGAAACTCGTCGGTATATTGTCACTGCGCGACAAGGCGGGCGGGATGTTTGAAACGCCTAATCGAATATTCTAGACGGGTCGATTGAAAATCATAACAAATAGAGACATAGTTTATATGTATTTCAGGAAAAAAACCATGTAATAAATCAATCTGTCACAAAAAAAACCTATCAACTAACAACAACTAACGGTACTGTAACCGTTCCGCCGAATAGTCCGGTTACAGCGAGCATGCGCGAATTCTTACGGACGCCTCGATTAACCAATAATTACCGCGATCGCCCGCTTACGCATGCCTTCTTAGAACACGCGTTTAGTCTAATTTTTACAGCGGCCAATCACGAGTGATGCGCTCAGGTCACCCCGCGCAATATTCAAAATACTCGAGATCATTGGCGCTTTACGTAAGAGTGGGTTCCGTCCTGAAAACCTATAAAGGAAAGCCCACATTCGGCGTGCAGCTTTTTATCGCTTTTCCGCTGTGAACCGCATATCGTAACCGCTTGATAGATAAACCGCAAAATTCGTTGACGACCACCGCTTATTTTGTACTCTGATCTCGATTACGTTCTCTTCCTGTGAAATTTATTAACACCATGTTATAGTCTTGTCTGAGTGTTCTTTATTTACGTTTGTTTAAGCATAATTCTTTTATTTTACAAAACATTGATCTTATTAGCCTATTGCAACGCGACCTCCTTTCAACATGATTCGTGAACAGAAACATATATAGTAAATGCAAAATATAAAACTACACTGACTTCTTTCTTAAAGATTTGAACGGCCAATTTCATATTCATTCGAAACATGATATGCCTTTTTTATTTTTGTGCTCTCCAATCCTCAAGTTGCAAGAATATATTTTTTAATAAATTTTTTTTATAACATAACTCTATTAATCTCACAACGCAATAATCGATTTAACATTTCCACATGAAAAAATATTCATGTAAATACATGTTTAGAAATATATGTAAATATTACATATATTTAGAAATATTTGTATGTATATTTATATTTTTTTATTTGTTATTGCTTTATAATCATTACTATATTTGCAAAATATAATTTATATGTATAAATTTATATTATATATATAAATTATATTATACAAATATGTATTTATATTAAATTTTTTATTTGTTATTATACTTAAGTAATAACTTACTTAATAAAGTAATAACAAATAAAAAAATTTATAATTTAATTTTATTATTATTCGACACATTTGGATAAAAAAATAAGAAATTCTAGAACAAAAGAACATTTTACTTACAGACAAGTAACGCAGTTTACTAAACTTATATTTTATTAACGCTCGTATTTTTATTTCTGATAATAATTCTTTCTAATTTGATAATAGATTTGTAATTAAGTACAAATATGTTAGAAGAAATTCTGCTCGAAATTCGTGTGATGATTTTACATAATGAAAGTAATTTTAAAAAAAGAGAAATGATTTTTATTAAGAAACACAGGAACTCTATTAATTTGCAACGAGATACGAAAAATATAAATGTAATTTATGACAATATTTTAAACTTAATTTAACAACTTTGACTTTCTTATATGTTTATTTATTTTTGTTCAGTTTGCTTCTTTTTACTTTATCCTTCAATAATGTCTCTTTTCTCGTTATCAAGGCCATTGAAACTAGATGGAGCGACATCAAAAATAATACTAGTTTTAGTTTTGATCAATTTAAATACGCAGTGGAGTTAATTTTAGATTCGACTAGCTTTTCTTTTAATGGGGTATTTTATGAACAAACCTTTGGTACACCAATAATTCACCTTTGTCACCCATACTAGCAGATATCGTTATGGATGATTTGGAAACAAAATGCCTCGATAAGTTAGATTTTCGTATTTCTTTATATTTTAGATACGTTGACGATATTTTAACAGTGATTCCAAAAGATGAAATTGATGTCATTCTTAAGACATTTAATGAATATCATGATCGCTTAAAATTCACATATGAAATCGAAACTAATAACAGGATAAATTTTCTAAATACTACAATAATAAGAACACAAGGAAGATTAATTATCAATTGGTACAGAAAACCGACGTTTTCAGGTAGATACATAAATTATTTGTCAATTCATCCAGAGAAATACAAAATTAATATCATTATAAATTTAATGGATTACGCGATTCTACTGTCTAACGACAAATTTCATAGGCAGAATATTGAAATTGTGAAGGGAATCTTAGTTAACAATTGTTTTCCATTGAATATTGTCAATCGCATTGTTAATAAACGCGTCGGATTTTTAAGACACAATATGAATAATAATGAACCGCGTTGTCAACAGAAATTTGACTTAAAATCTTATTTTACATTGCCTTACATAAACCATCTCAGTGACAATATAAAAAATTCTCTCTCAAAGTTTGGTTTAAATGTAGTGTATTCGAAAAAATTAAATAGGATTATCAATCACGGTAAAGATAAGATTTTAAAATTGAATAGAACTGAAGTGATATACAAAATTGTATGTAAAAATTGTACTTTTTCTTACATTGGACAAACAAAAGACACCTGAAAACCCGCATTAGGGGGAACAAAAATAATATTAAATTACATAAAAGTAATTACTCTGTAGTGAGCAAACATAGAGTTGAATTTGGACACGATTTTGACTGGGATAATCCGCGATAATTTTACATCATGAGAAAAATACTAAAAAAAGAGAAATAACTGAGATGTTTTATATGAAAAAGTGTAATAATACATTAAATTCTTAGATAGACACTGAAAGGAGAATGTCCAAAAAGTGCGATTTTTTGACCTCGAGCGGAAAGTAAAATTCGAGTTGTTTTAGGTCTCATACATTCAGAATATTGTAAAAACCATAGTGGTTTTTCCTGGAAATGCAGGGAATATTTAAATATCATCATATGTTTAGAGAAAATCACGTAAATCAATATCTCGCAATAAATCGAGATTGCTTGATGTTTTAGTCGAATATTTTGGTAAATATTTTGGTAACACCAACTTTCCAAGATCATTTAGACCGATTTTAATGTCAGTTAATCATAAATTGAATAATATATATACAGAGTATTCTTAAAGCCCGACTTGGGCTCTTTATCTTGGAAACGACTTAAGATACGAAAAAAGTTTCAAACAAAAGTTGTAGGATTATGAGGGGGACATAAGATTGTGCCATTGATTTGACCTTGAATAGTCATTTGAAGGTTACGTAAAAGTTATCTTTAATTTCTTTAATGGGACTACCTATTTTTTATTACATATTCTTATATGTTATTTCAAAAGCTTTACAAAATCCTATACTAAAATATGTTTTCATGGAGTTCTTGTTGAGTTATAAAGGTTGTAAGTTAACAATTTTTTGACATAAAATGTAAAATATCCTGTAACATATTCAGTTTTTGGTAATCGTATCTTAATACTGTTTTGCATGAAATAATGAGACCAATCAGTTGGTGTAAAAAACGTAATATTGAATATTTTCCCATTGGTTTTTCTTACTGGCATTCAACTTTCTTACTTAAAAAAAAAAACATAATTACTTATTAAAAAAGT